AACTGGATACTCGCCAAAACGGGCATTTTGACAATTTATGTATTTGAACATTTTAGCGCAGTTAGCCACTCATTTTGGTATTTGTGGCTCACAAGCTATTTGAGACTGAGCGCGGATATAAACCTGTGGGAATGACTAAAATAATGCGCAATACAAGCACTATTTAACCGGAGCGAATGAGACGTGTGTGTGTGTGTGAGAGAAGGGGTCGTCGGAGAGAAGAGAGTGAGAATGCGCGGCTGAGGTTATTGCCTGTGCCGCTGGTAACAAAACGGATCGGCTCGAAATCTGAAAGAAGTGAGACTGACCGGCCGATCACCGATCCAGGCCGATCATGAGGAAAATCGGCCGATTCCGATCCCTGGCCGATCGATCGGTGCATCTCTAGTGAATTCATTTAATGAATTACCACAAAATTGGCTTTACCACATGATTATTTAATATATAAAACCATTTCAGGTTGACTTCTATCAAAAATGAGGATTGTTGTATATAATGTTGTAAATTATGCCAAAATTTGCATTTTTAAGCAAACCACTCCTTTAAGCAAGTTAAGAAGCCTTGTGTCCAAACCACCACACCAGCAACACATCTCAAAGACGTTTGCGATCAGTTTTGCTTGTCTTGTCAGAAAAGAACTTTGCACACCAAAGAAAACAGTTAAATGTGTGATAGGTGTTCCTCTCCTTGTGTAGGTTAATGCTTCCTGTCACCCAATAAGAGAGCAAAGAGCATGTGGTGCCATCTATAGAATGGGCCCCTCATCTGTTTTTTCTCTCTGAATATGCAAGTGTTGTGGTTTTTCTGATCTATTGCTTTTTTCATGTACTAAACCTTCATTTTGTCATGCTTCAGGGCTTCCAACAGAACTTTAAGAACGCATTTACTTCTCACGCAGAGTTAAACGTTCACAGGCATCCGAGATGGCCACGCGCTGGTAAATGAGAATGTGGGGAATGAGAATGGGGAGATTGATTCCAGTTGTGTCGCCATACATCTGGTGAAGCTCGGCACCCATGTGCTGAGTTTTTTTTTTTGAGCCTCAAACAACAATTTCCCCGGCTGCAAATGGCGTCTGTGATCTGATTCTGAAGGTGGTTTGCTCCACAAGGTCGGTGACTCGTATCAGATGCCTTTGACACTTTCAACTTCCTCAGTCTCCCTCTTTACATCAAAGATGTCCTTACAGATATTTCTGCCTCTGACCTGTGGCGCGTTATAAAGCAGCATGAGCGATATTAGTCACTCTCTTCCTGTACTGGAGAGCTGAATGAGTGAGAGAGTAAAAGTGAAGAATCTGTATCGTACCAGTTGAGTTCAAGAGATGCTGTCAGCGATGTGGTGATGAGCTAAACTGATACGCTTTGTTAGCGTTCATAGAAAGTTGGATTCATTGAACAGTTTCGGTACACAGATTCCTACGTCAGCAGATGCGCAGTGTAAACAAAGAGATAGATTGTTCTCACTCGCTAGAATAATGAAACATTTTTTATGATATGAAAACCAATCTCTATAACACAATATATAGAATTTATTCTAATTAAAAACAGGATAGGATGCTGATGGGAGTAGAATGGGGAGTTCTGCAAGTGATTTACTGACAATGCTCAAAATAAAGAAGCAAGCAGAGCCAATGATAATAAATTTGTGTAATCTACTAACAGCACAGGTGCAAAAAGACATGCTTTCTCCAGTAAAATACCAGTAAGTTGATCACTGCAAACCTTACTAAATCATGCTGTGTGATTCATTTAAATACTCTCCTCCCATAAATTTTGCGCTTGAAAGGGAAACTCCTACAAATGCATATGCAATAAGGTCAGCTGCAAAAATTAATGTCCACACCTTTTCAGCGCTAATTTTCACTGCACGTTTTTAATAAATCCTGACAGTAGTTTTTTATCGTCAAAAGAGGGTTTGCGCTGGCGCAAGCATCTGGCCCGAAGTTCTTCGACGCCCCTCAACTTGGCTAAAATTTCATTTGAATCAAGCTCAATTGAATTGATTGTGGTGTTTGCTCGAATACTTTTAAATCCTATTTAGCCATCAATCCAATCATAAACATATTATTAGTTTGCATATAAGCAATGAATAACATTAATGAATAACGTATGGATGTTTTGCTACTGCAAATTACTTTCAGTATTAATATGCAGCACCCATAGAGTCCATGTGTTAACCTTTGCTTGAACATACTGAATTAGCTTCAAAATAAGGCTTAAATGAAGTGTGAACTTGAGAATTTTGTTATTAACTTGAGGCAGTGCTATATTGTGAACGCAGCCATACACAATATACTTTAGTTGACGCAGTTAGGGTTGCAAAGGGGTGGTGAATTTCTGGAAACTAATTCCCTAAAACTTCCAAAAAATCCTGGAAAGTTTACAGGAATTTACTAGAAATGTTCTGCCTCTTTGCAACCCTAGACACAATATAGCACAGTTTCATAATTTATTGCTTATGGATGCAATTTTTGATGTTGTTCATTTGTTGTTCGCAGTGATTCCCTGCTGTGCTGGTTACTGCAATGAATGGTAACACTGTCCAGCAGACCACGAGCACTGCACCGTTCGTAGCACCTCCTTGTGGATGGAGGGAGTTCTGCGAGTTGCATGCCAGCACCACGGCCCGAGAACTTGCCCACCACTACCAGCGCTTCGTCAGAGAGCGGCCGGTGCAGGATGTGGTCCCGCCGGAAAGTTTCTCGAAGCAGTTCAGCGCCCTCTTCCAGCACCACTTCAGCAGCGAGGTGGCTAAAGATGCAGAACCTGCCCCACGTCTGCCGCCACCACCACCCTTACTGCCCATGACTGCCCGCTTACGCATCACTTCCTTCTCAGGGGTGCTGGACTACCGGGATACCGTGCGGCCGGGAGTGACTCCGCTAGTTGCCGTGTTGGCACCCAAACCAGATGCCGCCGGCGTCCCTAGGGAACAGGAGCAGTTGCTGCGCTGCTCTCCTGCAGACACTACACATAGAACGCGGCATCATAGCCAGGAAGATGAACAACCGGAGCGGAGGACCGGGTCTGAACAATATTCTCCCCCTTTGTTTCCCTTTCCTTCCCGTAGTGACGTTACCCACTTTTCCGTCAGGGGCATTCGAGAAAGCGTATGCCGACTCTTTAAAAAATCCCCGCAACTTGACGAATCCTCAAGTGGTTTCCCAAGGGAGGATTCGATCAAAGGGGCCGGACCCTCGGTGACTGTTGAATGCACCTCTCAAACCCCACCTCAGACTGTGCAGGTACTCGCCCATCGCACCTCGCAGAAGGGTGCGCGGTGGGAACGATGGAATCCATTGCGAACTGTGAGACGGAGGCAAGAGACAGGAAGTGTTTGTAAAGAGGGGCAGCTGAGGTACCTGGAGGTGGATGACACTATCTCAGACACACCCCCGCATTGGTTGCGCTGCCGCCTGCAGGTCAGGAGGATCAACGAACAAACCACTAGTGAGAGGTACCAGCTGGAGCTCTATGACCCACCTAAGGTAAGGTGAACGTTCGAGATCTTTCAAGAGTGACTTCTACTATTGTTTTTGGCCTGATTTGATAATTGTATTTCTGTAGTTGGTAGTACTTGTTGGCTTATAATAGCTTGGTATATTGGTTAGATCTTTTAGTTTAGATTAGCCTATTTTTTTTTTTTTAAGTACGGCTGAAACGATTAGTCAACATTATCGACAACGTCGACAATAAAAATATGTATAACTCAATATTTTAACTAATTGCAAAAGCTGAATATTCAAATTCTACGGATTAATCAATGAACTAATCGATGATTAGTTGATTGATCTTTCTAATAATCATTAGATTAATCGATTATCAAAATAATCGTTTGTTGCAGCCCTATTTTGAAGGAGGTCAACTAGCCTATTTAAAACTTGGCAAAGTAATTCAAATGGAAATTTGGACAATTCTGTAATCATTTACATTAATATATGGCACATTAGGATGTGTTGCATGAATTTTGACGTCAATGACAAATCACCCAATTAGATTTGTTAATTTTGGTACGGAGTATCTGGTGTGTCTTGTCTTGAAGCGTTATATTTATATACATAAAATTAGATTTAAGAGCTACATTGTTTTAGTTAATAAAAATGTAAATTTCATTCTGATATATTCAAATATGTCTCGTCTATGGAATGATATTTTGGACAATATTCAAAAGGAATTGCAAATTGTATTTGCAATTGCATTTTCAATTTGTCGACGCATACATTGTGACAATGCAAATGCAATTGCAAATCGCACATTTGTATTTCCATTTTCTTTTCCGTGTATGTAACATGTCTGCCGAATTTTAAATGGAAACGCAAAGTACATTTGCAATTGCATTTCCAATGTCTTACGAGTTGTGACCCTGTCATTTTGGAATAGCAATAGAAAATCACTCATTTGCTATTTCACTTTCTCCACGTCCTGCTTCAACCCTCACAAAATTCAAATGGAATTGCAATCTCCTTTGCACAGTCAACTGTCAATCAGTCTTAGCCGGAGAGTATGCCATGCCAACTAGTACTGATGGAAAACCAAGCAACGTTTTCATTTTTATTAATTTCTATGAGGAAAATAGGGACAAATATCCAATAGATTTGTCTATTTTTGCAAAAAAAAAGTCGTAAAACTGTTGTGGGGTGTTTTTTTTTTCTTTCACTTCAAAAAACCTGGAACTAAATATTTATCACCTGCAAACACACAAAAGAAGACTGCTCTGGTTGCAAGCAACAGCACGAAGAAATTAAGATACATCAGTGTAACCTCTGAAGGAGGTAACTACTGAAGGAGGGTCGCACACCAGACGAGAAGCGCAGTGCTGTATTACATCTTTAAAATTTGAACTGTTTTCTATGTGTGTACGCACACTGGCGGCACCACTCGGTGTCTATCCATGCCACAGAGCACCTCTCACTAGTTTTCCATTAAATCACATTATATTTGTCCCAAATTAATGTTAATGTACATAATGACTTCATCCCAGAAAGATACAAAGATAGGTTGAGTAAATTTTAAAAAATTTAAGCAGAATTCAGATATGGCATGTCGGTGTGTTGCATGATGTTTGTTGTCAATGACAAGTCATGCAAGAACCAATTTGTAATTTTGGCGTGACTTATTTTGAAGTGTTATACCTAAATATATGCAAACATGCAACCATGAATGTGTTCATTCACATATATTCAAATATGTGACTTCAAGATGTGTTGTACGAAGTTTGTTTGCAATGACAAATCACGCAAGAACAAAATGCATTTGTATTTGTTGAAGGCAAATCTGGAGTGACTTGTCTTGAAGCTTTATTTTGAAATATATGCAATCGTAAATGAGATTTGAGAGCTATGCTGTGTTTTAGTTAATAAAATTTTTTAATTTTGTTCACATATATGCAAATATGGCAGCTTGGTTGGCACATGAGAACCAATTGAGTTTAATGTCAAAAATAGTGAGAAGGGTCATGAGGCCATAAATTGTAATACACATGCTATTTTTGCAAAAAAAAAGTCGTAAAACTGTTGTGGGGTGTTTTTTTTTTCTTTCACTTCAAAAAACCTGGAACTAAATATTTATCACCTGCAAACACACAAAAGAAGACTGCTCTGGTTGCAAGCAACAGCACGAAGAAATTAAGATACATCAGTGTAACCTCTGAAGGAGGTAACTACTGAAGGAGGGTCGCACACCAGACGAGAAGCGCAGTGCTGTATTACATCTTTAAAATTTGAACTGTTTTCTATGTGTGTACGCACACTGGCGGCACCACTCGGTGTCTATCCATGCCACAGAGCACCTCTCACTAGTTTTCCATTAAATCACATTATATTTGTCCCAAATTAATGTTAATGTACATAATGACTTCATCCCAGAAAGATACAAAGATAGGTTGAGTAAATTTTAAAAATTTAAGCAGAATTCAGATATGGCATGTCGGTGTGTTGCATGATGTTTGTTGTCAATGACAAGTCATGCAAGAACCAGTTGCATTTGTAATTTTGGCGTGACTTATTTTGAAGTGTTATACCTAAATATATGCAAACATGCAACCATGAATGTGTTCATTCACATATATTCAAATATGTGACTTCAAGATGTGTTGCACGAAGTTTGTTTGCAATGACAAATCACGCAAGAACAAAATGCATTTGTATTTGTTGAAGGCAAATCTGGAGTGACTTGTCTTGAAGCTTTATTTTGAAATATATGCAATCGTAAATGAGATTTGAGAGCTATGCTGTGTTTTAGTTAATAAAAAAATTAAATTTTGTTCACATATATGCAAATATGGCAGCTTGGTTGGCACATGAGAACCAATTGAGTTTAATGTCAAAAATAGTGAGAAGGGTCATGAGGCCATAAATTGTAATACACATTAATACAAATGTGAGCTTTGGCGGAGGGGAGGATTTTCAGCAAATAACAACGTTTAATATTAAATTAGGCAAATTTAAAACTGATCTTACGTTCTGCTACATTTATCCTTTTGTGCTGCATAGAAGAACGAGGGGTCTAAAACATGGGATATTTTCACATTAACACTCATTTAACCTAATTAATCCACCCACAATTAAGACAAACAGCCAATTTGAAACAGGGTTTGATTGATACTATGATGTGTAATTAGGCCGGTCGCAATAATCAATATATCGACTTATCGCGCAGTATATGTACATGACCGCAATCATTTTTGGTGACGCAATATATCGCCCATTATATTTACTTAAAAATTAATGTCACCGTGTTTTTTACATTCCACTTGCGCCTGTGTCTTTTGCAGCTTTTCGTACATAACGCGGTGTAGTCATGAGGCATCTTACGTTCTGCTACATTTATCCTTTTGTGCTGCATAGAAGAACGAGGGGTCTAAAACATGGGATATTTTCACATTAACACTCATTTAACCTAATTAATCCACCCACACTTAAGACAAACAGCCAATTTGAAACAGGGTTTGATTGATACTATGATGTGTAATTAGGCCGGTCGCAAATAATCAATATATCGACTTATCGCGCAGTATATGTACATGACCGCAATCATTTTTGGTGACGCAATATATCGCCCATTATATTTACTTAAAAATTAATGTCACCGTGTTTTTTACATTCCACTTGCGCCTGTGTCTTTTGCAGCTTTTCGTACATAACGCGGTGTAGTCATGAGGCGCTACTTCAAATTTAAAATATGCTTCTACAAAAAAAGTTTCATCTGCAGATATGGCCTTGTTTAGGGATCTGTGCCTTTGTGCATACGGACATCTGACTGCTGTGATTGTGATTTTCAGCAATAGTGTGTGCACCCTTCATTTACAGAGAAAAGAAGGTCCGGGAAAAATCTGTAGATGGAAAAATCTCCATAAAAGTGCACTTTTCTTCTTTTTTTTTTACTTATTACTTTGCACTTTTTGTTAGAAAATGTTCATTTACTATTTATTCAAGTTTTTTAAGGTATCTAATATTTTGATACTTAATTTCCATGATCTAAATATTCTTAAAAATTAAAAGTTTGTTGTCATTTGGAAGTGTGTAGGCCTTCTTGTATTATTATGCTGTTCCATTATGATATTATATTCAGTGGCATAAAATGGTCTTTAAAATGACAATAATATCGCTTATCGCAGTTATTTCTGGGGCAATATATCGCACAACCAAAAGTTGTTATCATGACAGGCCTATGTGTAATGAAACTAATAAGGACACAATTATGGTTTTGTCTGCCTTTTTCTGCGCCATGCTCCATTTCTCCTGGTTACACAGCATGATAGCCTAATTGCTAGTTTTGGTAGTTCATTCAGGCAGCAAATGACGTCTGCTCACTTGAGGGGTCACGGCACAGCCGTATCAAGACTCTTGATTGGCTGCTGAGGAATCTTGGCAGAGATGCGAGGACTTGCTCTGAATGTCTATATAAGGGAAAGGCAATGTACGCCAAGAAAATTCAAACACTTAAAGTGTATACTCTCCAATAAATGTCAGAAGCATGCATACACGTTTGAGCTTCAAATTAGCGATGCATTCATCAGTTCTTTTTTTAGACATTTTATTAGTTTAATCTTGTTAAAGAGAGAAATGTGTCTGCTTTTTGCTGTGCGCTGCATGCATCATAGTTTGTTTCACTGCATGCATCTTAGTATGTGTGTGCTTGTGAGCACTGGTGTGTGAGCGTGGAGGCTGCATTAAAGAGCGCATACTAGTTCATGCCTTGATTCTATAATTGTATGCTCCATGTTTGGTATGTTCGCTACAATAGCAGCAGTGAGGGCAGCTATGCTAAGAGAGGAAGCTGCAGGCTGGCTGATAATTTCTTTGCGTGAGAAACTTTGTTTCAGGGAAGTCCTAACTTTAAAACCAGCCTGTGCACAGCAGATAAATTAGTATGATTATCTGCTGTCAGATTTCACAGAAGTGTTGTATGATCATCAAGTTAAAAATGACTAGACCAGAGACAAAGTGCTAACATATTGTGTGCATTTATATGCATTTAAAGCAATGTA